TATACCGCCCTTCTCCTAGTGGACTCAGGGCGGTGCACAGCCAAAACTAAAACACATAACAATACAAAATTTAAAATTATTAAAAGAATTATATACTTTGGCCCAATTTTAAAACAATTCCAATTAAAACCCATTGACAGATTAAAAGCTAAACAACTAAAAAACTAAAAAAGGGGGGCGGGGTGGGGGGGTTGTAGACGCCACTTTCACCCCCTTCAAGGGTCCCTTCTTTCCTTTTGTCCCAAGGGTGCTTTTTCAAAAGACAACCGGGCTTGGGGTTTCCTTGAAGAGCTTGGCTTCTCATCCAAGAAGTTCTGAAGTCAGAACTGAAGAAACGTGTTGGATGAGAAGCAAAAAGTTTTAAAAACAACAACCCCAAAAACCAAGAAAGTCCAGTTGCCTTTTGAAAAAGCACCTTCGGGACAACCATGACATGGATGACTGAGAATCTCCATAGACATTCACCTTTCCTTTGTGCTTCTTTCTTTAAAAAAAAAAAAAAATGTCAGGGAAGAGTCTGAAATAAGAGTGGTTTTAAAAGGGGGTGGAAGAGAGCAGAAATAGGAATTTCACCGACATGGATTGCAATGAGACTTCCAGAGAAAGCCAGGGACCACTCCTGAGAAAATTGCCAAGCCCGAGCACCATGGGGATAATTCTACAGTTCATAGCATGGGGAACTCCCCGCAGTTTGGCTGTAAGAGTAAAGATTCTAAGAATAGGCCTGTCCGTTTAAGAAACTGTTGTATTCAGAAGCCTGCTGACCCTTCACATACCATAAAACTGTTGAGTAAGAGCTTTGCACAATGGGTTGCTTTTCCCCCTAATGTCTACAGCCCATTTTAGAAAAAAATGTTTTGTGACTGATGCAGTCACCCACCACATGGCTAAGCATGAGACAGTTGTACAGTACATAATTGGCTGCAAGAGCAACACTTCTAAAAATAGGAATTGTTTCTCCCAACCCAGGATCCAAAAACACTGGTTGTGCTGGATCTTGTTTAAGCAGATATCTAAGGGCTAATCTGAATTATGGGTTGCCTAGAACAGGAGAAAGTAGCTTGGTGCTCTTGGACTACAATGCTTATTTTGCCCATGTTGGTTGGGGATAATGGAGAATGAAGTCTAGATGACAGAAGAATGAATTTCTAAATGAGAGCTTGACAGACACTTGTAAGCAGCTTATTACTGCAGGCAGATGGTTGTAGCTGATGTGCATCTTTGGTATTTATACACTTTAAAGTTAAAAGCAGTAAATAACATTAAAAATGTAGACGTTGATCATATTTATAACATGCAACATGTCTAATATGCTGAAATATTGAGAAGATCCCCTTGTAGGTATAAACAAAGTATGGAAGACAGTCCTCCAAGATAGACCTTTGCCAGTAAGTCAAAGTTTATTTCAGTCAAAGACAAATATAGAATAAAACAATTAACAAATTGTTTAAAAGTAAAAAGGAAGACCAAACAAAACATAAACTAGCAGAATAACACAGAATATTACTCTATTCATATCACTGAAAGCTATGCATAGAACTAAAACAATCCAGAAAACTATCTAGAAATTAAGACAGAATTCTAAATTCTAAGATAGATTGAAATAAAATAAACCGATATCTACCCATCCTTATTCAATATTAAGTTAGGTATAGTAACTGTACAGTAATATTGAGGGATGAGATTAGGCAACTTGAATCCTGTCTTACTGGCAGCATAACAGAATTTGGCAACATAAAGAGAAGGGAGTGAGTCCCTTAGATCAGAAAGCAGAATTAACTGTAATGGCAGATTACTGGGCTGATCTTTCTCCACCATCCATAACTTCCATGTAAGGGTTATAAAGGATGAAAAACCCAAGATTGCCAGCCATTTTGATAGCCTTCAGCAGTTTAACTTACCCCTCAGTAATTTTTCTGACTAACACTTCTGACATCAGGGCAGGACTTTGAGACTGAAATCTAAGCCACACGCCCCAGGGTTGGGTTATCATTTTTAGTGCCTGTGAATACACAGTACTATCTGAAGAGACAGGCATAAAACCATTTACATCCAAAGCCTAAAAGTTCTTCCCTGGTCTTCTCCACTGGGCCTACATAGCTAGCTCCCTAAGATGAAGATACAGGCTGCATTGAAGAAAAGAATTGCCAACAGAATCTGCAAACAAATATCAAAAGTGAAGAACCAATATTCCAGCCACGTTTTGGAAATTTTAATCCCTATCCCGTTTTCAAAGTAAAGTAGTCATCATCTTCAGAGCTAATTCCAGGTGGAGTTATTTGGTCAGGACAACAGTGGTTGGTTTTATTCTTAATCCAATGTATACTTTATGTTGCTCTATATTTTTCAGACGACACAACCTTGTGAGATAGATCTGAATGAGACTGAAAGTATCAACTAGATTTAACTAGTGAGTTTCTGCATTTAGGGGTGGAGCTGAACCCTTCTTGTCCAGTACCATAATTACTAAATCATGTTTACCGATCTCTAAAGAGGAATTATAATTGAAGGCAGCCTTCTTTTATCTGGTGTCCTTCAAATGTCCTTCAAAGGCACGAGCATCATTGCCCCAGCGCTGTTCAGAATTATGTAATGCCAGTGCCTGCCAGGAACTGCAGTTCTACAGCATTTAGGTCAGGTTCCCCATTCAGGTTATACAAATATATATTTCTGGACCACAATTTTATGGAAACATCCCCAGGGTGCTAGGCTTTGCGTGCAATGCCGCATTTTGTTATTCACCAGCATTAGTGTCCCAAGGATTCACAGTATGGCTTTTAACCAAGAGTATGTTCACTTCTTATGCAGATTAATTACGCAGATTAGGAAGGACAGTAAGTAATGGTGTTAGGGAAAACACCTTGTGTCAATTCACCTCACACCTCCAGTTAAGACATGGTATATGAAGTAGAAACAGCAGCTTCCACTTGCTGCAGCCTGGAGATATATAGCCACACCTTCATAAAATAGGTGTAAATCCATGGGCTTAGATTTGCTGCAGTAAGTGCCCTTCAGGCTTTATTTATAAAGCTAAAGATCAGCAACCAATGAATGAATGGACGGCATTTTCACTACACCGCAACATTGCATTACTGTTTTAAGACGTTATATATGGTTAGTCCTCGATTTACGACCATAATTGAGCCCAACATTTCTGTTGCTAAGTGAATCATTTCTTAAGTGAATTTGCCCCATTTTACAACCTTTCTTGCCACGGCGAATCACTGCAGTTTTTTAAGTTAGTGAATCTGGTTCCCCCATTGATTTTGCTTAAAAGGTCGCAAAAGGTGATCATGTGACCTTAGGACACAGCAAAGGTCATAAATATGAATCGGTTGCAAAGCATTCAAATTTTGATCACGTGACCATGGGGATGTTGCAGCAGTCATAAGTGTGAAAAATGGTCATAAGTAACTTTTTTCAGTGCCGCTATAACTTTGAACTAGATGAACTGTTATAAGTCGAGGACCATCTGTATAAAGTTATGACTCCTAAAACAAAACTCTGTTTCAGATGATACCAGTAATACATTAATACAGGAAGCAGTATGGAAATGATTTGACATCCCAAATTACCCTGCTGTATTAGTATTCTGTGGCAATTTCCATTCCAATTAAGCAGCCTAGCCTTGGGCCAGTACTTCCACTACAACATAACTAATAAATGCTAATCTTTTAACATAATCCAAATTGCAGTCATTCCCTTACAGGTACAGATAGTCTTAGTTTACTACTGTACCATAATGGAACAGGAACGTCCATCATGAAGTAATATATATGTTAAGTGAGCTGGGCCCAATTTTTTGTTGTGGTTGATCCCACAATCATTAAGCAAATTCAGATTTCTCCACTGACTCTGCTTGTCTGAAGTGTCCTAAGAAGGTTGCAATGCCGATCACATGACCCTAAGACATTGCAACTGTCAAATACCTGCCCGTTGCCAAGCCTCCGAATTTTGATTATGTGACTTTGCAACACTGAAATGGTCTAAAGTGCAAAGTCACTTTTTGTCAGTGCAGCACCATTGACTTTGAACAGTTGTTAAATGAATAATTGTAAATTGAGAGCTATCTGTATTAAATATGCTGAAGCACATCAATTACAAACCAGGTTTTTGCATTGTCTTGTTAGTGAGGTGAAGAACTAGCTAATCAGAGAACCATAAGATGGTCCTTTCATAAGACAATTTAGTCACATTTTTAAATTACATTTCTCAATACTTGTGTAATAGTTGTATGCAATCATTACCTGGGAAACTATTGAAACATCCTGAAGTTGTTTAAATTATGAACACAAAAAAGGAGAGGATTTTTCAGAATGTAAAAACCCAAAACTATGCAATGTATAAAATAAAACAAGTAAGAAAAGAAAGAAAATATTTTAACTGAACTCAGAAAGCAATGAAGTAAATTAAATGTTTGGGACACAGGGACTTAAATGAGTCATTGCTGCAACTTTAGAGCAACTCTCCACCCAGAACAAATGTCTTTTATGCGAAGTTTCTCAAAAAGCCTATATATTGTCAAATTATACAGTATCCTTCACTTTGGTGAATATACTTTATCTGAAAGGGCCAAAACATGACAGGAGTTGCATGTTTTTAAAGTACTCTGATCATGAAATCCATATACTGTAGATCTCCTGCAGTGCTAATATGAATAAGATTTTAAATGTAAAGCTTTCTCAGCCTTTTAAATCCATAGCCCTCAGGCCACAATTTTATATAAGGGATGAGACATCGGGGTGCTGCATGTAGCCTCCAGACCCTTTTTGCCAGAAAACTAGACTGTACAGCCCAATTAATGTTGGACATACATATCAGATGATACTTTCCTCCAAATAGATTGCACTATAAATTCTTAGATGCCTCCGTTAACTCATCAAACACAACAAGTCACTCTTAGAAATTATATTATTAATCTGCCAACTGGCAGAGGGAGTTTGTATGGATTGATCCTTGTGCCAGAGGGAGATCACAGAAAACAATAAAAGAACAAGAGGTTTGTAATCAACGTAATCACTTCATTGAGCAAATTCCATGATAGACACTGCATTTTGCTAGCTGAAACACTGTACAAATAAGCCATAATTAGCTATCATTACATGCACTCTTTGATAGGGATTAAGAATGGCAGTAATTGAGAATACGTTGTCTTAAAAATGGAAGGTATAAGGTATGTGTTCCACTTAACTCTAGCAAACACAAAGTAGGGAAAGAAATCAGGAAGTATATCTTGACCTTCTTTAGTTTCATTTCTGAGCATTTGACATTGTTTAAAAACAAATGTGATTGAACTGTTTTAAACATTAAGATGCAGAAAAACTAGAGTTTACAAATTTATTCAAGTTCATTCATTATTTTGCAATAGAAAGATAAAAGTTCAATTTCCTTCAGACAATATTCAACTGCAAAGTGATGTAAGATATGAAACATACAGTACATATCTTATCTACCATCTCTACTGTTTCTATGATTGAACATAGTCTGGAGTCCAGGAGGGAAGGGCTATCTCAGTGGGAAAGGAGGCAGTGGAGCTTGGAATATCTGGTAGGAAGAAAGAGGACCCTCCCTTGAAGTTCATAGAGTATATCTATAGTTATGCAGATAGTCATTTTAGTCTGACAAGATTCTGTCTGTAGGCAAACAACAATAAAAGAAGCTGCTCAGAAATAAGTCCACGTCATTCTTATTTTGTGCGGCCTGACATCAATCTTGCCAGACTAATACTACTATCTGCATAACTATAGATATACCCTCTGAACTGTTTGAGAGGGTCTGTCTTTGCTTTTTTCCTGACTACCAGGCATTCTGTCTTTTTGCCCTCTGCGAAGTAGCCCCTCCCTCCGGAGACTCCAGACTACATTCAACCACACTTCCCTAATTTATCCCAACAATGCCATTAAGCAGGTTCAGGCTAAAGAAAATGCCAGGTTCCAAACTACTTGGTGAGATTATTGTTCTTCCTGGTCCCACATTGTGGGATTTCTTTAGTAAAATATACAAAGTAACATTGCAAACTTAAATCAATCACAGTTCTTCCATCTCTTATTTTATATTGTTTTCCCACTTGTCTTTTAGTTTCACATGAAAGCCTCAGACTATGCTTTACTCTAGAACTGATGCAAATAATTACAGAACAAAATTTAACTGGAATTTCTTTGATAACTTGAGAACAAGAACAAACCTAACTACAACCATCACACAGATTAAGTGAGGTATGCTTTTTGTTCTCCTTAGGCAATAAAAAGGTTTTCCACATAAATAGTACTGACTCTTTAAAACAAGTAAAAATGTGAAAATTGAACATGATTTTTCCGTGAACGTTTCTTTCCTACCATGGAGAAAACTATGCTGTATTCTTAAGACACTGAGAACATATGACTTTCTTATCCAATATTTTAACAATAGAATTGTTGCACAGATCTATTTAATTTGGCTGATCTGTTCTTTTATTAGTTGCTGAATTATATTATCTTTATAGTGTATTCCTATCCTGGTTTTGTAAAGTTTATATATAAAGACTTCAGATTTACAGCAGAACAAGGCCATGCAATATTTAGAAAAACAAACTACCAGCTAATGTAACATTTGGGAGTTTGAGTTCATTGGACACATATGGCAACAAACAATATCAATTAGGCCTTTAAAATTTAAGGAAGGAAAGTCAATAGCTAATGTTACAGTCAAATCATATATTTTTCTTGCTGCTGATATTTAGAGCACTGGGGCACAAGGAACCAGGAACTACAATACCATGTTTAAGATGTGTTTTCTGTATCATTATGTACAAACGTCCATTATTTAAAACAGCTACACCCTGCTTTTCAACCAGAAAGACTTCCAAAATGGTATGCAAGTCTTTTATATATTGAATGAAGTTCTTACTAAAACACTTCTAATATTTATTTTATTATTTTAGCTATTTGACAGTGTTCTTCTTTAAAAACTCTTACAATAAATACCTGTTTTTAAAAATTAAAAGATATATTTCTTGCCTTTTTGAACCAGGGACACACTGTGAAGAGCTGATGATACAAGGCAGTAGCTTTAATTGATTTCCGCAGGTATGGGAACTGATTATTTCTAATCAGCTATAACAGATTAAACCGGCATATAAGCAACTGTAACATATAAAGTCTATGTCACAGCTAAGCATTTATCACCAAATTCTCCTGCCCCAAATCCTCATAATCAGTTCATTAGTTGAAAGTGCCAGCAATTCAAGCGTCGTCTAGGTTCCTTCTTCTTATCCCATCGTTGTGTTTTTTTAAAAAAATGTGGATTATATTTGCATAATAAGGGATGAGGGAGAAATAACATGAAAAATGCCTGGGTTTTGGTTGCCCTAGTGATAAATGGCTTATCAGCATGGTTGCACTTGAACATATTATATCCCAAAAGATATTACACAATTTATATGACAAACAGAATGAATCTATAAATAATGCACAGAAAAAGTAGCTAAAGAGCCTGAAGTCATGGCTTTACTGGTGCTGCATTGCAACTTTCTTTTTCTACTTTTCAAATATGACAAGTAACTTGCTGAAATCCTTGACGGTCCCGGAGATTTTCTGAGATGTAAATCCCAATCTCTTTTTGCCAAATGATTTCTCTCCTGTAGCTGGTAAAACTATGCAACGAAACCCTTAAAACAACAAGGGCCAGCATTTCATTCCTTCTTATTCATTGAATGGGATAACCACCATACTAAATTCTAGATCTGACCCATTTGTTAAATCAGATTAAACTTACCATTTTTGTTTTTCTAAAGTCAAAATGCACATCCCCACTTATTGCTTTGGAGGTCAAGAGAAAAGCCAGAGACCTGTAATAATTTCAGGACTGGATTTTTAAACTGTCATTCACATTAAAGACCCTTCCTTTCCAGTTCTTCCAATACAGCTTGGATTCTATGAACTGCCTCTTTCCTTGCTTGGCGCACATTGTCCTGACCACCTGTCTCTACAGAGTCCAGTTCCAACAACTTCTTGGTCAGCATTTCTTCCAGCAACCAGTAGTCCTTGTCTGTCTTTTTACCTACAAATTCATCCACTTCTTCTTCCAACAGTTCAATTCCCTCCATAACTTGTGCGATCTTCTGTATTCCAGGCTGCACATCAGTTGGAGGCTGTACGTTTATTTTACAAGCCGATCCACTGTTAATCACAGATGGTTTCTTATGTACATTATCATACAGCTGGGGCTGTGCACTATACTGCACTTTGGGGTTGGAAGCAGATGGCTTAACATCAAGCTGTGCTGGATTGTAGTCATTCGTGGTCCCAGAAGGCAAACTACTGGCTTCAGGAAGATAACCATATTGGTTAATCCCTTGATCCATTTGGCTAAAAGAGTCCTAAAGCAGAAAAAAAGCAATTTCAACAACTCTATCAGTTCCATTTCTCCCCATCCTGTCTCAAAAATGCTACAAAAGCATATCCCTAGGTGGCAAATATTGCCAGCCTGCCTCTCTGCATATTTGTAAGATCTGCATTCTCAAGATGTCAGTGCAAAAAGGCTCTAGTACTGAAAGCCACCATGGATAGGACCTGAACTTTGAACCTGTCAGAATGACATCACAATGTGCCATGATCCAATAGCCTAAAACCTAGGTGACCTTCCCATGGGTTCTATAGCACAGTAAGCAGTTTCCCAAAAAACAAGAATATAAGAGCTCAGTAGCTTAAGTGCTTCCTTCCTCACATACATACAAAACTGTCAACTGGAAACAGCAATGAAACTGTAGATGAACATAAACTCAATAGCTACTACACTGAAGACTTTAAATCTTTCAAAGATGAGTGTCGCCAATTACTTTTCCTATTAGGTTTCTTTTTAAAACTATTATTTTATTGTTACCAATTTCTGCAATATCAAAGCATTTCAACTACGATCGAACAGTATTCTACCCAAATGGTCTTGGCAAAATGTTTCTATATCAATGCTTGTTGAATATTAATCACCTTGCTTTTTTAAATAGTTATTTGCCTCTGCAATTCTGCATCTATACAAATCTCCTCTAGATGTACTATAATACTGACTACTCCATTTTTTTAACATTTAAAGCCTGGGTCTGCACGTGTCTTATTAAATCAGATTTCACATAGTACACGTAATATAAATCCATACTTTGTTTCTCTGATGGAGAGCTGAAAATAAATCGGCATAGATTTTTATTTTTAATAAGTTTTGCCTTAACTCTTTCCTTCACACTCCAAACACTTTCATTCTTTTTATATTAATTTCCTAGAGTTTGTTAGTGAGTTTGTTAGTATAGAAAGACTCACAGTATGTATTTGAAAAGATTTATATCATTCTTGTATCTGTTGTGCAAAACTGTCTCAATTTTGCTCAACTGGGTTTTTTCATTGCAAGTTAGTGACACTTTGACAAGTTTATTTTAAATTAAATTACTAAATAATTATTTTGGCTGATTGTAAGTGTTTTCAACCAGTTTCAATTCTATCAGACTTTCCTTTTAAAAAACCCAAAGAAGGGAGGGATGGGGAGGGAGAGAAAGTGTGTGTTGTTCACTATCCTACATAGTACTGCAAATTGTATATTCTCATTTGTTTAGCTCTTTACAAATTAGCATTAGCAAAACTAGAAGCATAACACAATTATAGGCACAACACAACACAATTTAAAATAGAAACTATGGTATTTCAAAGACACAACCCTAAATTTTCAGCATATTCTTTTAATATTTTGCATTAGAGGACAAGTAAACTCCTTGTGTATTTCAAAGACATACCTTTGGATTGTTATTTGGGGGATGTAGAGTAGACACATCACTGTTAGGCCAAGATTGTGCAACATACTGATTCCCTCCTTGCCCTGTTGGGGGAGGGGGCCAACCATAGGGAGGCTGCATTCCATAAACGCCAGGTGTTTGCCAAGTGGCATCCTGAAGTCCTGATTGAGGGGGTGGTCTCTGCTGTGGAATGTTAGGATTGCAATCTCCGTACGGATAGGGTGGGAGCGGAAAAGCTGGGCCCTGCAGGAAAAGGGGTATACAGAGACACATTTCTTTAATTGCCCCAGGAAAACTCATCACTTAATAAAACATTAAAAGACATTTCTAGTAGCAGTGTTTCCATGGCACTAATTAATACTTTAATAGACAAACAACATTCCAGTTTTCTGTTCATGCTTCAAAAGGCTGGGCTCTTTTCTGATGGGCACATCAGGTTATGGTCCATCCATGCGGGGTGTAATACAGCTGAGTAAGCAATGGTTTGCCCTCCCCCATTTCCTTATTCTCATGATCAGGACACATGCCGGCACTTTGCAGTAGATGCTTCACAATACCCTGTGTGCTCTCCCCTTCTTTCAGTATCCAAATGCTCCTTTTCATTTATTGTCTCTACATCTGCCACTTAAAAAGAAGAAAGGGCAGCAATTGAAACAGACAAAATAATATGGCCTAGAAACCAGGCGGCAAGTACCAGGCCTCCCTTAGGCATGAAAGCTAGATGGGTGACGTTGTGCCAGTTGCTCTTTACAGCCCAACCCACCTTATAGGTTTGTTGCTAGGGAGAGACTAGGAGGCAGGAAGATTAGGTATGTTTGCCGTCTTAAGATGACCAAATACACACACACACACACACAATGATGATTCATATCAGATATTTACTTGTGGAGGGGAGTAACCTGCTACCTGCCTCCTCACCATGGAACCTTCAGTTGGATAGTCTGGAGGGGGATAATTCCAGTTTGATGCCGATGATGGAGTTCTATATATGCTAGAAGACTCTGTGGAGTAAGTGGCAGGAGGGTGCTCTGAAGAATAGTGTGTGTTTGACTGTGGGAGACTGGGATATGGCGGCCCTGCCCCAGGAGCTGAGTATGAAGGTCCATAGACACCATTTGTGTAGGAAGAATCAATTCCCTGGAGGACAAAAAGAGAAGCTATTTAAAATAGCTTGCCTAGCTTAAAGACAAGAATTAATTAGGGTATCAATGCCTTATTCAAAGACAGTTCCAGAATTATTTCCTTAAGCAGCGTCAGTAAACAAAATGACATCTATTAAGATGTTTTGGATCTTGCAACTTTTAGTTACGGACAATATAGAATATTGCATGTAAAAAAGCTAAAGAAACAAAAAGACCACCAAGCAGAGATTAACACCAGACAAACAATCAAGCAGAAAGCAATACCCTAATCAAGAAATTATCAAGAAGAAAACCACACCCCCACTTTGCCAGAAGAGAAGTTACTATACATAAACAGAGAGCAAATCCCACACTCACTTGTACTAATGTTACTATTTGGGTAATGATGTTTGGAAGGAAGCAACCAAGCTCAGAAAGCACCAAGGATTCCGTAGCAAAAGAAGCTGTTCTATTTATTACTGTTATTATTGTTTGCTTATTTGTGCTAACAATAAAACAAACTGACCCAGTTGGGAAGATATTAAAATCACTGTTACAAGAAACTATTTGCATAGAACAAGAAATCTTGTGAACAGCAGATTTTACAAACCATCATTTAGGGTAAAACTTCAGATCTTATGTTTTACACCCAGGTGACACCTAAATTTTTACACAAAATGATGTTACACAGCAGAAACTCTCTGAAAATGTATATGCTACATTATTTAACTTGATCTTTTTACAATCTTGCTATATACTATCGACTCTCAAACCAGAAGCTTAATTATTCTACAAGAAGCCATGTCCAGACAAAATGCAGTACATTATTCCTATTACTCTACCTGGCCTTGAAGCTCTGATCCAACAGGATATGGATTTGAATAGGAAGCTCTTGGAGATGAATTCCAGTAATTGGGGGCATACCTGGGATAAGGAGGCTGTTCCTACAGGAAGAACCGATACATTTAATTTTTACAAATGATTAGGCTCACACCTAGAATATTTCTAGAATAGTATATAGCTAATTTTTGCATTCAAGCTGAATGTCATATCATCAGTAGAAAATTCAACAGAATGTTCCTGGAAAATCTTCTTGTTAATCCACGACTACCAAGCTAAATTGAGCAGTCTGCTTGTAGTAACGTGTGATTGCTGTTGTAAGAAGATCCTTGTAGCAGAGGAGCCTCTAAAAAATAATGGCTTGACTTCATCAACTCTTGGTGACTGTGTGGGAGTACTGATACAGCTTTCTTGGCTACAGTATAGAAATGGTTTGCCTCTAGTTTCATCCAAGATGTTTTTCAACTTCATAGCATAGTTTTCAACCCTTGTATTCCAGAATTCCAGCCAAATTGTATGAGGCATAAAACTGAACTCCAACAAAATTCATTAGTTGCTATGTGCTTTAGCAATGCTAATAAATGCATAACTTGAGTATGACTTAATTTTAATAAACATGGAACAGTTTACAAAAATAGACACCCACACACACACACACACACAGTTTTCCAAAAATAAGACCCGGTCTTTAAGATGCATTAGGGCTTATTTTGGGAAACACAGTATCAGGGTGATCAGCCCGCTGGGCGCCCCACCCCCCTGGTGCTCACAAGAGGTGGCAAGCACGCGGGTGCCAATGGTGCCTGGCAGCAGCTGCAGCCCGACTCCTTGGTTGGCGCACTCTGGGGCTGGACAGCCTGCGTAGCGCAGGTGAGTTGATTATCTGTCCAAGCAGCAGAGGCAGAGATGTGGGGGGAGGCACTGCGCTGCTGCGGGAAAGCTGAGAATCTGTGGGCCAGAGCAGTCACAGGAGGCTCTTCTTCGCACGGTGGCACCAGCAATAGGTGGAGGCAGAGGCATGGAGGGAATGCAGGCGATCCTGATGTGCTGCGCGGGCTGCAGACAAACTGAGAGATGCAAAAACAAGCCACTTGTGGGCGACTGCCCACTTTGTCCCACCGACTCTCGGTTTTCAAGGCAGCCCGCACAGCGCGTCCAGATTGCATGACTCCCCCCCCACCTGCTGCTTGGACAGGTAATCAACTCACCTATGCTGTGTGGCCTGCAACTGCTGCTAGTCACCATCGGCCCCTATGCCCTCGCTCTGGTGCTGGCCATGGCCACACCCTGGTGTTTTTAGGGTAGGTAGTATTTTCGGGGAAACACAGTGTGTGTGTGTGTGTGTTTCAAGTGGTGACTGGCAGACAGGCAAGGAAGTTTTGTTTTATTGATGATACATACTTATAACCACTTGCAAAAATAGGATGAGTGCATTGTAGAAGACTTCCAGTCTTTTCAAGGTCATATCAGGAAATGGAAAGAGCAGGACCTTCCTTTTTCATAATGCAACATCATTTATATTTATATGAACACACAGCTATGATAAATAACAAATCTAAATTTTACCTGCAAAAATTAAATCCTGGGAGGGGGATGGAGAAGAGAGCAGATGAATGAAGTATTTTCCTCTAGTACTTCCAGTATTACATTTCTGAAATGCTTTATGCCTTAAAGCTTAGCTCATTTGTTGGAAACTCTTGTGGTGTTAGGTAAATGGCTATGTACTACATTCATGGAGGGACATTATAATAATCTGAGAGGAATGATCTGGAAATAGTGGCTATATAGCAATGGTTTCTTCCAAGCGATGACTAGAAAATGTATAATCTTCAAATGATAAGAGGTATAAATAAGGAACACATCAGAATAACCAAATGTATCCCAACAATACCTAAACCCAAGCTTAAAATGTTTAGTTATACCCCAAAGTACAATAATCTAAAATTTATTTAAGATTCAAACAACTCACTTATACTATATCTTTGATTTTATCTCAATTATATAACAATCAGATAGTAACACTATATCCTTTAAAAAAAAAAATCCTAATGGCATCTGAAAGGCCAACCAAATTACCACTGCATAAACTCTTATTGATCTCCATTTGCAGATGTTGAGATTGAGCTGTATTTTTTAGCAATGGAAGAGTTAATATGCTGCCCGAAATATCAAGAATATCAAGTAGATATCAATATCAAATATCAATATCAAGTAGATACAGAAAAATTATAAAAATACCATCCTCCTTTCCTCAAGAAAAACAGTCTCAGCTACTATCCATTTTTCTTAAATCAATACAATTCCCACCTTATATTTTGTGAGACTCTTTAATGAATAGTTTAAACTTAGATATTTTGCACTCGTAATCTTTAACCATCATAGTAAAATATCTGTGTCTTTCAGGACCTATTTCACTGATTGAGTATTAATTTAAGTGGTATCAAAACACAATTTCAAATAATTGTTTTTACATTTTTAATATCTGCTGGTATTTGTGATGCACTAAAAATAACATTGGTAAGCCTATGTATGTTTAATTTAATAATCACCTGGGCAACACCTTTCCTTTTACACTTACAGACTTACCATTTACTGAACGATTGCCAGGAGTGACTAACAAAAAGCAGGCTTTATCTTAAATCTCTCTTCAGCAATCAAACTAATTAAAAATTTTGCCTGACTCTCTTATTCACAGCTGATTAAACTGTCCAAGAATTTATAGAATGCAAGTATAAATAGTTTGTCATCTGTCCTCGATGTGATTTAACTGGAGGCATACATATTTAGTTATTTCTTAAAATTCCAGAGACTAAAATATTTTCCCACAACAGGAAGCTAATAAAATATGTGAGTTTTAAAACACATTAAAGTTATTTCTATTCCAACATTAAAATAAGGTGTCAAGAATTATAGTAATAACATTGTATTGCTCTAGTTACATTCACTAGTTTCACTAACTGATGCTTAAGGCTATTCATCTCTAATAGTCTAAATTTTGTAGGACATGCCTCCTCTCTGCAATGTGAGTTATTTGTACTAAAATTAATCTCCCAAGAAATAGAAATTCAGAACATACTCCCTGCTCGTTAAGAATTTTCTAGATGTTAAACTATATTAGACAAGTGTTCAGAGTTTAGATTTAGGATTTCTTTGTTGTTCATTCAGAATCTTTATCACTCTTGTATATCCTTTATTGTTACAATCCCAATTTTTAAGCTGGGAAAAAGCTAGGGTATAATAAACTAAAAATAGCTGCTTCAAAACAGCATATTTTACTCAATACTACCACAGTTCCACTAGGAACTACTTTAAAAAAAAAAAAACCTATTTGAATCTGCTTCCATATTTTGAAGACTATGACTCAAGTTCAAAAACAGAAAACAAATACCCTAAAAAGCAGCTAAGAATCCCACCCAAGCCTTGAAAATAAGCTTTATTTGCCATGTAACGTAATCACGAACGAAAGAATCTTCTAGGAATACAAAACATTTTAAGACATTTAACAATTTCTCAGAACCTACCTTCATGACACAGAATTGTTAGAGAGAGCATGGAGCATTTTACTATACACAGCCCTAAAAGAAAAGACTAAACAAAACATACCTGCTTTTTGTTTTCCTCAGATTTACACAGCAGCGCCTTCCTCTTCTAAACGGAGAATGTTAGCCAGCAAGTCTTTTTCCAATATAGGAAAAACTACCTACCAAGAACATTTCCTTAGTCTCTGGGCTAAGGAATACTGTGTGTGACCAACCATACGCTAAATAAATAAATAAGTCTCTGGGCTCCATTTTTTAAGAATTAAAAGTCTGTACGATTTTTTCTGGGGACAGACAAGGATGAAAAAGAAGATGACATTTCATACAGGACTTACCATTTTCTTCACTTCTAACCAATCCAAGGTTTTTCCCCTTTTTTTTCTTAGCCGAACCAAGGGAAGGTTTTGTTATGGCTCAGCTCCGGCAGGCGTGCACTTGGAGGAATGCATCAGCCAGAGTTAGCTAAGCAATCATTAAAAACAAATGAGGAGGGGAGGAATAACGAGGAGACAAAACACAACTGGCTTCGTTTCGCTTCCTTCTCAGAGTGGACGCAACAGACTAGAGCACGTGGTAGCACTTCAGGGGAAGGGAAGCGCAGACGGTGGCCTGAGGGGGTCAATTACGTAACACAGCGTTAATAACTGGGAGAGACAAAATAGGGGTAGGGACTGGGTCGTTACCTGGGAGCCGCCCTGAACCGCTCTTTGCCCGCTGTCGCGGTGCTGGGCACACCTAAATGGTGCCATGCCCCACAGCGGTGGGGGAGGCTCCGGTTCAGGCCGAACTCGTTCCACTTCTGTTCCGCGTAACCTCCTCAGCGCCGCCGCCATTACGGGCTCTCAATTTAGTATTTATTTTCCCCCCCCCTTTGTAAACCAGTGCGCCTGCTCACCAAGCGACCAATCACAACGATCAACACACCTCTTCAGCTTCGATTGGCTGTTTACGATGTTCCGGGATGTGGGGAGAGCGGTAGGGTTTTGCTAAAGAAATAAATGCTGCTGCTGACGTCAATAAGCGGGGACCGCTGTCCAACGTCACCGGGAATGATATCCAATCAGCAAGTCTGATTTTAGAAGAAACTTTCAATTAACTCTTAAAGCGCCAGAAAAAAAGAGGAATTCGGATTTTGTTTAGGGCCCAGATGAGAAATTTGCCTTTTTTCCACCCTCTTGTCACCTATTTATTTTACATAGCAGAATTTGCCTTCAAACTGGAATATTGTCATGGGTGGAGCAATAGTTTATTCCACAAATTTAATAACAAATGTGGACGGCTAATGGAGAGTCCCTATCAAAAGAAGATTGGGGACAAAACAGAAATTAAATAATATTGTACAGATTGCGTAACTGCCCAGGCACTTGAAAGAGAACTTTGAAAGGAATATTTTTATATTACTTTCTTTTAACAGGTTTAAAATATAGATTGTCTCTACTGTACATGTCTCTGCATGTTAAGGAAATTCAGCACACATTCAGTTAACTGAGTTTGCAGTAGTATTTGAAGCCATTTTGACCGTCTGGAGGGTAGCCGGTTAGGAAAGTTGCATTTACAGTCAAGATTTTCTTAGTCTTAACATAATAGGACAAATGACATACAAATATTTAAATATGTTTTTCTATTTTATCCTTAAAATGAGTAGCATAGATAATGTGCATATCTTTACATCAAAGATATGTAAAGATATGTAAAGATAGACATGGCCTTTCACCGTGCCCTAAAAACTTTTATTTTCCATCAAGCAGGGCTGGCGTGAACCCCCACCCCCCCCTTTTTAGCTCTTTTTAGCTTTTTAAGTGTAAATTGGGTTTTAATTGGATTGTTTTAAATTGTGGGCCAAAAGCTGTATAATTTCTTTTAATTGATTTTAAATTTTGTATTGGTATGTTTTTTATCCTTGGCTGTGCACTGCCCTGAGTCCAATAGGAGAAGGGCGGCATATAAATTGAATAAATAATAATAATAATAATAATAATAATAATAATAATAATAATAATAATAATAATAAATAGACCAGTGTAAATAAAAATTACAAGCATTTAGCAATAATAATAAAATATATAAGATACAAATAATACCTGAAATTTAGGATTGTAAGAATGTAATGTAAAACCCTATTTTAAATCAGAACTCTTAGCATTCATAATACTGTTGAAAAAGTAAGAATATAAAAAAGAATAGACCCAGTTTGGTGTAGTGTTAAAAGCACCAGGGAGATTGTAAATTCACGTCCCACCCAAAGCCAGCTAGATGACCTTGGGCCAGTCCCTTTCTCTCAGCCCTAGGAAGGAGACAATGGCAAACTCCTTGTGAAAAAACACGCCAAGAAAACTGTAGTGACTAGTCCAGGCAGCCACTTGGAGTAGAATAACATAAGAGCAAAAGGATAAAATTAATGTGCAATAATAACCCAATGTCACCCAGTGATCTTCAAGCTGAGTTAGGACCCTGCAAGCTTACATAAAGAGCATAATTTTGGAACTGGGATCATAGCACCCTAAATGATGGTTTATTGAATAAAACACATTAGTTGGACTCCCACCTACTACAGACCAGAATATAGCAGGCTTCCCACAGCAAACCAGGTTTGCACGTGGTTTGCTGGTCCCGCTGCAGCCCAAATCTGCAGGGGGGTTAGGAGGTCATGAACAGTTACCCTAAGCGAACACGGGTCTGATGCTGCGGAGCCCATCCCGCGCATCCTTCCCTCCCTGCATCCAAAACGGATGGTTCAAGTTCCCCCATGACCGGCGGGCGCAACCGAGACGTCTTTCCGATCCCGTCTTTGATTGCGCTCCAGCCAGCCGGGCGCGGCCGCTCCCGACCCCTCCGCCCTTCCCTGGCCGCCTATTTAAGGGTCGAGGCCGGCGGCGCCAGACTCTCTCCTGGGAACTCCCATGCGCACCAACTCGCCGCCGGGCTCGGGTCCCCTTTTGTCTCCCCGCCCCGCCGGAGCTTGTGCTTCCGGACCGGGCGGGGAGAGGCCAAGAGCAGGTTCCGCTTCTCCCAGGGCCGATGCGGGCGGCGGAGCTTCCGCTGCGTCCGGGGGAAAAATGAATTACATGCCGGGCACGGCCAGCCTCATCCAAGATATCGATAGTGAGTTGCGCGCGGGGCGCCCCGCTTCAGCCTGGGGTTCCTTTGCGCCTGGCTCCTTGCAAGCGAGCCGGTTTTCTTTCTCTCCTCTTCTCGGGTTTTGAACCATCTTTCTTTTTCCACGTCTCTCCTCTCGATAAATGCCTTTGCTTTAGGAAATGGCATTGCACTAATTTAAGCGCCGCTGCTCTACATGGCCACGAATGCGAAGGGCGTGAAAAAAAGGGGGAGACGCCGCCACCACCCTTCCCAAAAAGAGAGGCGTGGAGCGCTGCCTTGGGGCCGATTTCGGTTTGAAGGATTTGCGGCTGCCGAGCGTTCGGTATACTAGTAGGAGTCCTCTCTCTGTTTTGGAGGGTGGGTGGCGGATCCCTTGGCACTAGCGTCCTGGCTTTTCTTCTCTTGTTTTCTGCCTTGGAAGTGGCTTGTGAAGGCTTTAACGTGGCTTTGAGCAAGTTAATTGAAATCATTGTTAATGGGATAAGCTACGTTTGGGGAGTTTTGCACAATGCCCTAAGCTGTAACCCATAGTTTCAAAGCCACTGGTGAATTTTTACAAAAGTGGAAGGGTTGAAGCCTACATTTCCTTCCTTCCTTCCTTCTTTCTTTCCTTCCTTTTTTCCTTCCTTCCTTCCTTCCTTCCTTCCTAGTACCTACAGGAGACATTGAAACATCTATCAGTCAATCCTGTTTTACACTACTCTGATGTTTTACATGATAGTTTCCTTCAGTGGTACATTTTTAATGGCTTTTAAAGGCAAACATCCTTCCAGGGCTAACCCCATTTAGATATATTCTTACATAATCACCTGAACCACAAAATAGCTGGCTATATTTTTAGACTAGCATGTTGTATATGTGCAGTCCATATGGTAAGTTTATTCTGCACTGTGCAAAAGAACCTATGAACACTGAGTAAACTATAGTTTATGGTGTATTATAAGCATAAAACGTGGCAGACTTTTAACACTGTAAAACCCAACATTTTAAAATGGGGTGAACTGGAGAGTTTTCAGTTAGCTTAGAGCAGTGATGGTGCCAGAGGTGGCACACAGCACCCTCTCTCTGGGCACAAGAGCCCTCGCCCCAGTTCAGCTCCACTGCGCATGCACCCGCAGGGTCTCTGCCGCACGTGCGCTGGGGGCTGGGCACATGCAGGGGGCACGCACCTTGCATTTTGGGAGTGCAGGCGGATTTGCACCCACGCGCACGCTCTTTGGGCACTCAGTCCAGAAAAGGTTAGCCATCACTGGCTTAGAGCGATTGAGGAAGAAAAATCAAATTCAAGCAATGAAAATCAAATCCAAATAATAAGGCTAATTGGATCCCTACACCTCTCTGCTTGTACAGTGAATCTTTATAATTCTTTATAATTCCAAATAGGAAGCCTAAGCAAAAAGCATTTTGGTAGAAAACACACAAAGATAGATAGTAATATATTTTGGAAAACTCCAAGGCTTATAGACTTTCAGAAAACTGTAGAAAAGCTGATTCAACTCTCTAAAAAGCTTGATTTTTGCAAATTAATGAGATTTTCCCCCTTTTTCCCCCCCTTTCCAGAGAAACACTTGGTCCTCCTTAGAGATGGCAGAACATTGATTGGATATTTACGCAGCATTGATCAATTTGGTATGCCAAACCATTATCTTTTCACTTACGTATCTTTTGATGGTCCTTCATGCAGCTAATATTTTGCCAAAGCCAGGAGTTCAAAGGAAAAAAAGGATTGAGAAAAGAAGGGGGGGGGAGAGAAAAAAAAGAAAAAAGTGACATTTTATTTTGAATGTACTTAACACTTATTACTGACAGAGTATATAGAATCAGTTTGGTGTAATAGTGAAGACATCAGGAGACTGTGAGTTTTAGTCCTACCTTAGACGCAAAACCAGTTAGGGTTTCTCTTAGCCCTAGGAAGAAGGCACTGGCAAACCACTTGCAAAAAATTTGCTAAGAAAACTGCAAGGATTTGTCAATGCAGACACCAGGTGTCAAAACTGATTCAAAGGAGAAAATATCAAGGACTTCCCTGGATTAAAATAAAAATAAATTATTGATTTCTTAGGGTACCTTCAAAACAAGTTTGACAGCAAATAAATTTTTATTTTGCCTTTGCTGCAGGAGTTCAAAGCAGTGTGCATGGAATTCGTTCTTCATATTTTTTTTCCCTCCACAATAACCCTGTAGAATTTTGCTTCATGGCCTGTGGAAAAAAGCTAGGGTTCAAAAGTCATCCCAGGCTCTCCCAAGCTTAGTTTTCATACAGTATGTATTGTTCTAAATCACCAGGTGACCAGAAAGATCAGTCAGAAATCTGAGTATCCAACACTGATTAATACAGCACTGGATTAGTGTGAAATGGGTGAAGAGAACTGCATTCCAATGCCCTTTTTTAACCAATGGTGTGAACATCCCCAAAAGTCATATCACAGGAACGCAGCAACAAATTTATTTTCAAAAGCAAGAGTGACTTTTGGGAGACAGTCTTCTCCCCTTTAAAATCTGTACCGGGCCTGACTTTCTGCTATGAAATTCAGCTGCTTTGCCATGGAATTTGATTTTCAGCTGTTAGCTGTTAATTCAGGCTTTAAGTATTGTACATGAATACATAAAAGTCCAGTTTGCTGCTGAACTCTGCTGTACCGCTAGAGGGTAGCAAATGCTACAGAAGATCAAGACTTAGGCATGCCTCTAATTGGGTTTAGAGAACTTCACTTGAACTTGGACAATCTGATTATAAGAATCATAAAAGTAGTTTCTGTTCTTAGATTAGAAGTGCATTGCTATGGGGCTGTTTATCAAGCTTGTTTTCCTTCATGCAGATGGGAAACATCTGTAAAAAGAAAATGGGCTCAAAATACCAAGAACTCAACGATTCAACTCTGAGCGACATATAATCCCCAGTATTGTATACAACTATTTTAGAGCTTAGGCTAGTTCCGGTATACTAAGAATTGAACAAAAATAACAAGAGTCAGGATTGACCCAACTCTCAGATTTAATTCAGAAGTCTGTATTCTTTGGCAGAGGCCCAATAGGTCCTTGTCCTTTTTCTCTATTTTTCATTTTTCTTTTCTGTGCTGGAAAAAGTTGGAAAGAAGTTTATATAAAGAGGCATGGGACTCTATTTGAATGTCTGGAAGCAGTATAATTGTCTAACAACTGAATAAAATGGGACAAAATTGGGTGCAGGATGAGAAACTGCTAAAAGAAATACTGAGTTTGAAAATGGATTAGAACGAAGGGGACTGCAGAAGAAAAAGATTTCCTGTGTATCTCTCTGATATTGGTCAATGGTTGAAATGTTTTCTACTGGATCATTTTAAGCTGCTGTGGGCATAGGACTTAAGGCTCTTCCTATGTTTATTCAAGCATGCACACAAATGCAACATGGATGGAGAGCAAAAACCCACATGGAGATGTATATGTATGTTTACATTTACAGAAGAAAATGTGGATACCTCCTATGATAATGTGGACATTATCAGCAAAGGCTTGGAAAACAATTTCAGAAACCAAGCTTGGTGGGATTGACCAGAGGAACAGAACTGAAATAGTATATTGTGCCCATTTTCTGGAATGAGAATAAGCAGTGGTGTTTGTATATTTCTGTGGCCTGATGTTAATATTTGGTAGCAGAAGTCTGAAAGGTTCATTTCTCTCCAGATGTGGAATTATTAAATAATGCTTGTCTGCAAATAATCAAATCCCACTAGTGGTTGGGTAGGCATACCATTATTGTTGCATTTAACCACATCCTTACAAGTAAACCTACAGATAATTGCAAGCAAGCCTGTACTGACATGCTATGGTTTGGATTTAACGCTGAAAAAATGTTTTGGGATAAGCACACATGGTACATCTGTTGGAATCTCCTTATAGAAGCTGTGGGTTTTGTTTTCATGGGCTTACACAGTAGTTGTGCAAACCCAGGAAAATCACACCAGTTAAGGAACACTGACATGTATACTTTAAGTACCTTGTTCATTATTTTACAGTCTTCATAGCTCAAATGCATTTTTTCATGGCATTATATTGTACAGGCCCAGAGAAAGATACAACTGCTTAACTGCTAACAGATGTGGGATGCATCTCCATTCCACTTTGCAAAATCTTTTTGGCTTCAGATCCAATATGTACGATATAACTTTTTTTTCCTGAACAATGCCTAGCATTCTGAAATTTCATGCTGGCCATATAGGACAGCAAGCCCGCTGCCCTACATCCAACCTGGAAGCTGATAATGCTGATTTGTTTGTAGGTTAGTCCATTTTGGGCTGAAAGAATGGGAAACGTTGTTCTGTCATCAGCATGTTGGAAATCCTGCACATCTTTGGCTAACAGATGAGTTAGAGGGTAAATTTGTGTTAGATGCCAGACTGAGTTTGGATTTGCATACCTCTGTACAGAGTAGACTTCCTGTTGGAAAAATGAGGGATGTCAACTGTGGTTTTGGTTTTGCTATATGCATATGAAATTCTGAAGAAAGGCAGCTACTCAGTGAGAAAGCATAGAGAAATATACAGTTGGGATCTGCAACATTCAGTGAAACAATCACTAAGTTAACAATCACAGTGAAGGCAACTGCTGATTTTCCTTCAGCTGTCCTTTCCTTTACAGACCCAAAAAGGTCATTAATGCAGAGACTGGTGGTAAAGTTACTTTTGCATCTTAAACATAACCAGTTGCTAAATGAGGCAGTAACTAAGCAAGGACTACCTATGGTATATGCTTCCTGATAGCATACCTCTTCAAATGAATCATTCTTCGCTAAGACCTTATTTGTAAATGGCTATATTGTAAATGTATAGGATACTTTTGTGATCCTATAATCTCCTGATTACCAAACTGAGAAGCTTTTGATGGATTGTTCTCAGATCACCAAAATTGAATGCTGGAGGTGTGTACTCTTGGATTCACAAGAATATTTAATTCTGACTTAACATGAATTGTCACTTCAGCTATTTTGTTCTATGACTTTGAATAGAACACTCCCGCTATTTTGTTCGTTTGAATAGACTCCAGCTATTTTGTTCATGACTTACGAGTATTGTATGAACTGTGGATTATTTAACAAACGGTAGTTAAGGAAACTGATTTCAAGCAATGTACAAACACGGACGCTAGCTAATCTTTCCTGAGCTGTTTACTTTCATTTCTTTGTTTTCAGTACCCTAGAATGTAAGTACAATCTTTCCTGTCTATAACTGTTTACCCCAAAGTTAGGGGTCATTTTTAGCCTTGTTACTGGAGAGGCGAAAGCTTGAGATGGTCCTTTCTGCCTGCAATGCCTGTGTTCTGTTCTTGAGTTTGGATTGTTGAAAACTCTTGAGTAATGCAATATAAGTTGAGAGGTCTTTGGATGTTGCCTAGTTGGGATAATGAAATGTTTACAAGAAAACAACCAAGGTCAGAGAGCAAAACGGCCCCCTAATTTCAACCCTGAACTACAAATATTCTCCTTTGTTGGCAATGTAAGTTACATATATGACAATGGTGTGTTTTTTAGGGATATACCAAAAGAAAAATGAAATACCATTATGTTTGCAAAAAGAACTATGAAGGACATCTAAGCAGTGTAAACAGCTCTCATTAAGCTGTTGGATGAATAAAATAAGACAAAGATTCACTTTTTACATGTTGGAAGAAAAACAGAAGTCTCATAAGTGCTAAATAGAAATAATGTTTCCAATGCCAGACAACAAAGAGGAAATATTTGCTAATTAGTACTATTTGCTTACCTCTTTAGAACGCAGTTGCATAGAAACCCAAAGGTGGAAGGTTGCAGCCTATTCCTTTACAAGCAGCCACACATTTCATCACTCATTCCATCTTTGTTTCCTTCCTTCTCCCTGAACTTTCAGCAAATCTGGTTTTGCACCAAACAGTGGAGCGCATTCATGTGGGCAAAAAGTATGGTGACATCCCTCGTGGCATCTTCGTAGTCAGAGGCGAGAATGTTGTACTCCTGGGAGAAATTGTAAGTCAGCAACTGGTTTTTCTTTTTTCAAAGAATTGCAGGCCTCTTGGAGCAGAATTCTGGGACTTGAAATTCTTACAGCTTAAAGTTGCGATGGTTGAGAAACACTGCTACAACTTAATTCTTAATTGATATTAGCTGACCTAAATTGGGATTACAGGCACTTGTAGGTTGATCTGTCTGGAGACCACAAGGTTGGGGAAGGATTGGGATTTTTTTAGGAGTTTTTTATTCTTTAGAAAGGTAAAGGTTTCCCTATCCAGTTATGTCCGAATCTAAGGCACGGTGCTCATCTCTGTTTCTTAGCTGAGGGAGCCAGCGTTGTCTGAAGACATTTTCAGTGTTCCTGTGGCCAGCATGGCTAAATGCCAAATACTGAAGTGGTATCTGTCTACTTGAATTTGTATGCTTTCAAACTTCTAGGTGGACGGGAGTTCACCCTGTTGAAAAGAGCTTGGGTCTCAAACTCGGGCTGTCAGCTCTCCAGCTGACAAGCTCAGCATCTTTAACAGCTGAGTCATTCCCCCCTCCATTTTGCTTTATTCTTATTCTTTATTGTATAAAAAATGGTATCTTTTGGTGCATTTTAAAATTGAGAATTGATAATGTGGAATAGAACAGAGGCACTAAACATACATGTACAAATTCACAGCATCTGTGTTTTGTGTTTCAGAGGGAAAAAATTGCTGTTTCTTCCCAATTTCAAACCCTGAAGTATTGACTCTTTTTCTACTGCAGGACCTGGAAAAGGAAAGTGATACCCCTTTGCAGCAAGTCTCGATAGAGGAAATCTTGGAAATTCAACGAGTAGAGCAGCAAACGAAGCAAGAATCAGACAAGTTAAAAATGCAAGCGCTGAAGGAGCGGGGCCTCTCCATTCCAAGGGCTGATACGTTAGACGAATACTAAGTATTTACCTGAACTGTCTCCCAAAGATTGAGGAGACTATGTACTGAAGTGCCCAAGTAATGGACAACTATTTTTTTTTATTATTATTTCAGATTCCTTCTCCTCCCCCCCCCCCCCCCCCATGCAGAAAACAGTTGGATCATCATGACGTAAACTGTAGTTCTTCCCATTTCACAAAAAAATCATTATTTTTGAAGATTAAATATAATCCAGCATGATGAAGCAATTGTAAAAGAGAAGGCTGGTTTGAGACATTTTGTTTATTATTTTTTTTAATACAGGGATGACTTCTGGAAGAAGTGGGGAAGTAACCCTCTCTAATCTGTAAATAAAAGGTGATTCTAAACACTGCTGTAAGCTAAAGTGGAAGCACTACTGAGAACTTGTCTTTTGTCTTTTTTAGCCTCCAGGGCATTTTTCTAGGGGGCAGAGAAATGACAGAAAAACTCTTTTGTCTTCTGAACTGGGCTGATGGAAACCTTAAAATCCTCAAATAGGAGGGAAAAGGTTTGACAGGAACATCTGAGTTGTTCTTGTTTGTTAAAAGTTCTTGATGGCCTCTTAGCTTGGTTGTTTGCTTGCAGATGTTTCAGTACTGAACCAGGTAACATCATCGATGAAGATGTAACATCTGCAAGCAAACAACCAAGTTTAGGTAGCACCAAAAATTCCATAGTTAAACCCTGAGCTACAGATACTGTATTCTCTTCTGTTGCTCTTTATCTGTAAAATTGCAGAATAACAGAATTGGAAGGGACCTTGGATCTTCTAGTCCAATCTCTGCTCAGGCAGGAAGCCCTATCCTATTTCAGTCAAATGATTGTCCAGTGTCATCTTAAAAGTTTCCAGTGATGGAACATCCACAACTTCCGGAAGCAAACCATCCACTGATTAATTGTTCTCACTGTCAGGAAATTTCTCCTTAGTTCTAGGTTGGATCTCTTCTTGATAAACTTCCATCTGTTACTTCTTTTCCTGCCCTCAGGTGCTTTGGAGAATAGGTCATCCCCTCTTCTCTGTGACAGCCCCTCAAATATCGGAAGACTGCTATCACGTCACCCCTATCCTTCATTAGACTGTATGTACCCAATTCCTGCAACCATAAGGTTTAGCTTCCAGACCCCTAATCATCTATGTTGCTCTTCTCTGCACTCTTTCTAGAGTTTCAACATCTCTGTTGTATTGTGGTGACCAAAACTAAATGCAATCATGCAAACAGCCATTTACCAGAAAGCAAGAAGTAAGATTGTTCCTGCCATTTCTTCCAGCCCCCAAGGATGATCCCCATTCATTCAATTTAGTCTTATTTTCTTGGCAATTGAACTCACTTTCAAAGGCAGATTTCTGGTGCTTCCCTTGCTATATCCTGAGAAGACCTAGGAGCACTAAAAAACAAAACAAAAGTAAATACTAGAATTGGCATGTCACAGGTCAGTTTCTCACTTGCTTTAAAAATGTTTTAAACAGTAAAAAATAAAAGGCAGGTGGGGCAGAGACTTCAGCAAGAGCCAAAAATTGATTTTACGTGAGAAAAATTTTACACTTCCCCTTGCAGTCTGTTACTTGGTGCAGCAAGCAATGAGTGTCTACTTGAAAGTTGTGGTTTTTAGTTTCTGAGGACAAGTCATAATTAATCTGCAGAAGTAGCCTGAGAATAAAGTCTTTAGGAAGCAAAATGCATTGTTTTCCTTAAGCCCAAGATTGACCCACAGGGCAATATTGATGGCAAAGGACCTTTTGGGGTTGGGATAAGAGGGAAATTTCTTTTTACAGGTTTTTACAGCCAAGCAGTGGGCTTGTGGTGTTCTCTGTTTCTCAATTTAGTTTAATTTAGCTGATGTCTAATAGCCTTGAATGCCCTCTGAATGGAACAGCAAAAGATAAATGAATAATATATAAGCTGCCAGTGTGGAGTCCTGCCTACTTTTGCCTGTGATAGTTACAAACATACATTCACAAGTTAAAAAAAGAAAGCCCACAGGGGGAAGTCAAGCAGCCTGGGAATCTCTCATTCTGACTTGGTATATATTGAAGCAGTTCCCTGTAGCCACAGACCTCAGGCTGCTATTTTAGCCTATATGCTAGCTATAGGTTTGTTTGTTTCTGTGCCCAACCAAAAGTCAGATAAGCTAAAACAACAATTCTGCCTGCCATGGGACGGAATGTATCCATTTCCCCAAATCCTGGTTTTTGTCTTGCAAATTGTGCATTTCTTCATTAGCTTCATTTACTTCTCTGCTTCTCAGAAGTGTAATGCATTAATTTTCCCTCCTGCCCCCTGGTCATTTCAAATTAGTAGAAAAAAAGGGGTGTTCCATTTGTATTACTATCATTGTATTTAAGGGATTCAATTTAAAAAGATCCTAGTTCAGACTGAAAAAGCTGCTAACTCATTAACCATGGTTTGCCCATTGAATCTGTAACCATCTACTTGTGCTTGTGAACCAGCAAGTTCATAATAGAATCTTGATCGATCCCAGATCTAATAAGTTAGCCTCAACTCATTCCTTACAAATTGGCTTATTGTTCAAGAGCTCACTGGTATCTAACTATAATACCTTGACAGCATTGTAGGAGAGGTGTGTTATGGAAAGCTGGCTGTGGAATTCTGGGAACTGAAGTCCACACAGCTTGAAGTTGCCAAGATTGAGAAACACTGATCCATGGTGGTGAAAAATCAGGAAGAGCCTGGTAGTACTTTTTCTGATTTAGCAAATTTTGTTAACAAGCACCTGCCTTCATGAGTTGCAGCTCACTTCCTCAGCTGCATAGATTGGCTAGACTTGTTCTTTAGCATATGATGAGAACATCACAAAGAGAAGTAAACCTAGACACACAATCCATGTAACTATATACAAAATGTCTATGGGAATATATGGCAGTGGCCTCATAACTGTATCTCCAGTTCAGCTATCAAGCCTCTGGAATTGTTTCATCAGATTTTCTAAGGAACGGGGAATGCTCATTCCTGGCTAGACTTCATAATGGTAGTCCTTGACTTACAACAGTTTATTTAGTGAATGTTCAAAGTTACAAAGGCATTGAAAAAAGTGACATCGTTTTTCACAGTTAAGACCTTTGCAGCCTCTCCATGATCATGGATCAAAATTCAGCTGCTTGGCAAGTGTTTCATATTTATGACTGTTGCTGTATCCCAAGGTCATGTGATCACCTTTTGCAACCTGAGAAGCAAAATCAACGGGGAAGCCAGATTCACTTAACTATCTATTTTATCAAGTGCAATGATTCACTTAACCATGGCAAGAAAGGTTCGTAAAATGGAGCAATACTCACTTTTAACAAATGTCTCATTTTGTTGGGGCTCAATTGTGGTCGTAAATTGAGGATTACCTGTACAGGATTAAACCTATGAGGTTGCTTTCATTGTGTCTCTGGCTTGGGGCTGATGCAGGGTATCATTCATCTGTAGCCACACTAGTGCCAAAGTAGCATTTTCCTCTTTGTTCTGATGTCTGCTAGCAGCCTAAAAGTCTATGACAAATTTTAGGCTTTGCCATTCGTTATTTTGGAGAGGAATTGAGACCGACCAAGACTGGAGACAGGATAGGGGTCTCCAACAGGGACTTTAATGCTGTTATTATTTTCTATTGACTTAATAACAGATACAATTTCAATGCAAGGGTGAAAGGTCCTCAGACTTGAGCAGAGAAAGCATAAATGGGAAGACCCTTCCATGCGCTATTAAAAGTCAGAGTTATGGAGCTTCCTGACACTAGTTTACAGTCCGTTGTAAACTTGAGTGCGTGCCTTTGTGTACCCATTAGAGCAGGGGTCCCCAACTCCCAGCCCATGGACTGGCAACGGGGCTGCGCAAACAAGCGAAGCCCCGTCTGTAGGCAGCCTGCGAAACCACGGGGAAAAAAAACCTCCACAGAACTGGTCCCTGATGCCCAAAAAGTTGGGCGCCGGTCGCTGCATTAGAGAGCCAACCTTTTGCTTGGCTAAACTTTCCAGGGCTTCCCTGCCAAACTACATTTCCCAGCATGCACTGGAGAATCATTTATAAAAAAAGAAGGCGGGACCGAGGCGATTGCATAACTCTTTCGAACGTTGACACATCGGAGCCCTCCCTCCTCCCCCCCCCCGCGGGTGGCGACGTCATCACCAACTCGGAGCCCCGCCCTCTTGGAACGTTTTGTAGGCAGTTTGCTCGCTACGGGGCTCTTTCTAGTATCGCTGCTATTTCCTGCTGGGACAGAAGGATTCCAGAGGTCTCGCCTTCGCTTCCCCCGCCACCTCGCTTTCGCTTGCTCTGCGCCGGCGGGGAGAATTTCCTCTTCACTCGCTTCCCCCTTTTGGAAGGACCCCCTGATCGGCATTTCTTGGGCTTGGGGGGGGGGGTTGAGAAGAAGCATCGCGCCCCTCAATCCCGCCTGCCCATCTCCCGGCGGCTGAGCTCCAGGGTCTTCTCCTCCTGCCCCCTCCCCGGGCATGCTTGGCTGGGCAGGAGGGTAAGGGGGCTTTCCTTTCTTCAGCGCTGCTGACCCCCTCCGCCCGCCCCAGGCGAGGAGCTTTCACCGGCGCCGGAAAGCCGCGCGGTTCCGCTGGCGGAGGGGGGGGGGACGGGACGAAGGAGCGCCGGTAAGAGGATTTCTCTCTGGTCTGGATTGCATTGCGGCGGTTGTTCCGAAGGTGGGGGAGAGGATCCTGCTTCCCCCTCACGCCCTGCCGGATCTTAGTTTCGATCCACTTGCGGGCAACCGAGAGCCGGCGCTGGGCTGGAAGGGATGTGATACCTTGAGGTCTAGGATGCTGGCGGCCTCTTTTTAAAAAGCCGGAGAGAACAGCAGTTTTGCGAAGACGACGGCGAGGAAGCAGCCGCTTCTCCCCTCAAGAACCTTGATTTTCGGGTCCGGTTTGCCCCCCTCTCTCTTTCCCTTCGGGATTGTGCCGCACCGCAGCATCTTCCAAGCTGGAGCGCCATGGAGCTGGAGAACATTGTAGCCAATACAGTTTTACTGAAAGCCAGAGAAGGTAAGAGAGTCGGGGCAGCCGAGGCGAGGCGGCGGCGGGGAGGAGGAAGGGAGGGAGCCGGCGGTGGTTTCCGAAGAGCATCGCGCAAATTTGAGCGGGGGAAAAAGTTGAGCCAGCGCACCGACTTCTGGCCGGCAGAGTCTCTGAATGGAGCTGCGTCCTGCAACTGTGTTAAGGGAGACGAATAATTGATGGAATATTTGCATTTAAAAAAAAAGAAAGAAAGAAAGAAAGCCTTGTGTTGGCTGCCCGGGAATTTTTCACAACACTTCAGTCATCTCCTCCCGAGTTTTATTTTCACAACGCTCCTGCAGGGTTGGCTCCTCTTAGGGGTAGAGACTGGTCCATGGTCACCCAGTAAGACTGATGACTTGCATACACATTTCAACCGTGATTCTCGCCCTACTTCTCTGCAATCATAAAAGGGCAGCCAAAGGAATAGATCCAGAGATGTGGGCTGGTGGTGGGCTACTGTGGGCCTAGAACTGGTGGTAGAGAGGAGTCGTTTGACTTTGATGAGTTCTGATCGACTTCCTCTTAATCATAATCATGAATACCTTATAAAGTTACTTTGAGAGTTAAATCCAAGGGGGATATATGCAGGGCATCTTTTTGAAAATTCCAAATGGAAGTACAGTATGTTAAAGAAACTTAAAGGTAGTTGCTATGTTCTATAAGTGTTCTGTAAGTGAGATTTTAACTGACTAACAGGTTCTTAAACATACGCACATCCTCTTTAGATTTGCAGGCTTACTTGTCAGAAATGCCCTGGCAAAATGCTACAAAGAAGTCACTGTGTGGCGAGATGGGCAAAAATAAAATAAAAAAATATAATAAAATATAATAAAATAAAATAAAATAAATAAATAATAAAATAAAATATTAAATTAAATTAAATATGTAAGAGTGTGACTTTAATGATAGCAGTGATGATGCTGTAGCCTTTTTATGAGCCATAAAATCAAACAGCAAGACTTCTATGGTCCTTCCTTCGTTATTTTTTTAAAACCGTTTTAAATTAAGAATGTTGGATCAAATGCCTCTGGGTCTAAATCCCAGTTCATTCATTTATGCACAAAATGCTTAGCCTTTATTTTACCAATGGGAAGGTGAATTGCCTTTTTGGAATAGTGTCAAAAATCAGCAAATTAAAGGCTAGAAAATTAATTGTTCCAATAGGAGAGAATATATGGGTTCCACAGGATTGACCTGTGGAATCATTGGTATTCTCTGAGTTTTAGCTATTTTCTTGCAGACATTTCATTACATGACTTGCTAACATCATCAGTGCACTGATGTTACCTACCTAGATAATGAAGCATCTGCAAGCAAACCAGCAGGCTCGGAGAGCACCACAAAATAGTGTTCTAAAATGTATTTTTCACTATAAATATCAATTTTATGCTGTTGTCTCGGTTAAGCAGATAAGAATAAAGAAGCCTACAGTATCTTGTCCAGAGCTGAATTCAGTTCCTGTGTGTGGCCAAGATTGAGATGTCACATGTGCTACATTTCCATGGTGTGTTGAGATATCTCTGCTTTACGCAGATCGGTAGAGTCATGTTCAACTCTTTCTCAGCGAGTCTGAAAATGCCAAATAAACAGCGGCACGCTTCAGTTCAGTATAGACAAGAATACTCTGTGTGTATCTTCAACGGTGGTTGTTAGGGGTGGGAATCTCAGATGCCATTACGTGTCAAGACTGCATTGCCGTTTATGTGAATGAGTAAAGCACAGGGTGGCCTTTAGAAGGGAAAGCCCAGGCCTGTATCTTCAAGGCTCCTGCAGTTGTTTTTCAGCAAGGTCATGAAACTTTAGGGCAAGGAGGGCAGGCCTTTATTGGTGGGGGCAGAAAAAGCAGAGAAACCACAGAAAAATATGTGGTATAGGGCAGGGGTGTCCAATTTTGGCAACTTTAAGACCTGCGGACTTCGACTCCCAGAATTCCCCTGCCAGCCATGCTGGCTGAGGAATTCTGGGAGTCGAAGTCCGCAGGTCTTAAAGTTGCCAAATAGGGCTTATCATTTATCATTATCAAGCTGTAATTCAGAGGTACTCTGGCAAGATGCTACAAAGGCAGATATACAGGTAGTCCTCAGCTTATGATCACAATTGAGCCCAAAACTTATTTTGCTAAGTGAGACAGTTAAATGAGTTTTGCCCCATTTTACGATCTTTCTGGTCATAGTTGTTAAATGAATCACTGCAGTTAAGTTAGTAACATGGTGTTAAGTGAATCTGTCTCCCCCATTGACCTTGCTTGTCAGAAGGTCGCAAAAGGTGATCACATGACCCCGGGACACCGCCACCGTCATAAATATGAACCAGTTGCTGAGCATCTGAATTTTGATCATGTAACCATGAGGATGCTAACAATGGTTGTGAGTGTGAAAAACAGTCATAAGTGACTTTTTTCAGTGCCATTTGAACAGTCAGTAAATGAATGGTTGTAAATTGAGGACTACCGATATTGGGAGCTGCTTTGCTATAATTTGCTGTAAACGTTACCTTACTGGATAAGTGGATGGGGCAGTTAGACTTTCTCAAGAGAAATAAGGAACTCCTTAGCTCAATTTCTGGTCCTACAAGAGGGTAAGAAAATATTTCTTGAGAGGTTTGAATGAACAGCACAGGAAGACACAATTCAGTGATGAAAAGCTGTTGTCCTCACATGCCCTTTTCTTTTGTTAAAAAAAAAATGCACATACACAGTTGCTGAATTCCTAAGCCCTTTGTAATTGTATAAATGTTGTAAGTCAGCCTGGGAATGATGAGTTTTGTTGAGTGGTTGCAGCCCTTCAGAACTAGAGCTGTTTTTCCCACTCCTTTCATTAGAAAGCCATAATGTCATCCATATGTTGATCAGAATCAGAATATAGCTGGAAGGGATCTTGGAGGTCTTCTAGTCCAGCCCCCTGCTCAAGCAGGAGATCCTATACCATTTCAGACAGGTGGCTGTCCAGTCTCTTCTTAAAAACCTCTAGTGATAAAGCACCCACAATGTCTGAAAGCAAGCTGTTCCACTGGCTAATTGTCCTCACTGTTAGGAAGTTTCTCCTTAATTCCAGGTTGTTTTTCTCCTTGATTAGTTTCCATCCATTGTTGTTTATCTTACCCTCTGGTGCTTTGGAAAATAAATTGGCCCTGCTCTTCTTTGTGGCAGCCTCTCAAATACTGGAAGACTGGTATCATGTCCCCCCTAGTCCTTCTTTTCTCTAGACTAGCCAAACCCAAATCCTGCAATTGTTTTTCAAACAGTTTTAGTCTCCAGGCCTTTGATCATCTTAGCTGCTCTTCTTTGCACTTTTTCCAAAGTCTCAACATCTTTTTCGTAATGTGGTGACCAAAACTAGATGCAGTATTCCAGGTGTGGTCTTACTAAGGCTTTATAAAGTGGCACTAATACTTCATGTGATTCTGATTCTATACCTCTGTTTAGAAAGATAGAAAAAAGTAACAGTTCTAGCCGACCCCAGAATTTAAGGCTCCATAGGGGGAAACTTTGATTTTTTTAACCCTCTTGTAACTAGGCTGTATACAGGTAGTCCTATGGCTACAGTTGAAACCAGAATTCCTGTTGCTAAGCAAGGCAACAGGGAGGCGGTAACTCAGTGGCTAAGATGCTGAGCTTGTCGATTGAAAGGTCGGCAGTTCAGCGGTTCGAATCCCTAGTGCCGAGTAATGGGAGGAGCTCCCGTTACTTGTCCCAGCTTCTGCCAACCTAGCAGTTTGAAAGCACGTAAAAAATGCAAGTAGAAAAATAGGGACCACCTTTGGTGGGAAGGTAACAGTGTTCTGTGCGCCTTTGGCATTTAGTCATTTATTTATTTATTAGTCATATTTCTATTCCGCCCACATGACCATGGAGACGTTTTCGGACAGCGCTGTCTCTTCGGCTTTGAAATGGAGATGAGCACTGCCCCCTAGAGTCGGGAACGACTAGCACATGTGCGCAAAGGGAACCTTTACCTTTAAGCAAGGCAATTTTTCAGTGAGTCACACCTGACTTTACAACTTTTTTTTTCAATAGTTATTAAGTGAATCATTGCCATTGTGAAATGAATCTGGCTTCCCCCGTTGACTTAGTTTGTCACAAGGCTGAGTAGTCTACAAATGGTGATCATATGAACCCAGGATGCTGCAATTGTCATAAATATGCTGCCTTTGCCAATCAGCCAAATTTTGATGATTTGAATGTGGGCATGCCACGACGATTGTAAGTGGAGGGATCGGGTATACCTCACTTTTTTCACAACTTTTGTTAGCATCAAAAGGTCCCTAAACAAATGGTGCCGAGTCGAGGACTACCTGTAATTCTATTTCCAAAAGATGACTGAAAAGTGAAACTACATCAAAGCAATTTTACCAGAAAAAAGCAAGGTCTTGTTAGAAAAGCACATTTCCTCTGTTTTAGTTCAGTGATGAACAACTTTGATAACCAGCGTCATGAGCAACATTTGGGACAGAGAAGAGATGCTGTGCAGATTTGATTGTTTGTTTAACTCCCATCCCCCTTGGACTTTGTGGCTGTTCTTCTTAAATATGTTAAGCTTCTTTTAGGAATATTTGTGTGATTCTTGCCTCCAAATAGAAGAATCCCTGGAGGCATATTTGATCTTGAGTTTCAGGTTGCTTACTTCTGTTCTTCTTCAGCCCTGGCAGATTTTCAGGTGGAAATTGCCCTCCATTTAGAATTTAAATCTGAAATGTTCTTCATATAAGTGATGTAAGTGGTCCTTTTTGTGAACGTGCTTCATTTTGTGGCACTAGTCTGTGTTCCAGAATCTTAATCCATGTTCCTTAATCAGACAAGTGGATTCTATTGTTTTGTGGATGTTTCAAGGCTTAATGGGTTTTTTTTACAGCAGAAATCTCTGTGCTTAAAACAGCATTCGCACTACATGTCTGCAGGATGCATGCTCTTTCCAGCATGTCTGTTAGCATTTAAAACAATGAAGCTGTTTGTCTGAATATACATTAGCACACTGTGTACACTTTAA